AAAACATTTTCATCTTGTTTGAATCAAACAGTAGTTGGAAAATTGCACGGGCTGCATTGTTTCTCAGTTTGGTCCTTTACACTATCTGGGTTATTAAAATTATTTTACTGTTCTGCTGTACCACGTAAGATATCTGATATCTGAAATGCACTGTTTTATTTACAAAAACATTGCTCTGCCTTCTCCCATTATACATATAACAGTTCCTTAAGATTCTGCCAAATAGTTTATTTCAAGTTGTCCTATCCTCCTTTAGGCTTCAGATTGTTGCAGTGTCTTCAGCAGTACCATGTCTGATTTTGCACATTTATTTAGCTATTTGTACTTAACTGCATATCCAGACAACTGATCTCATATATATGAGGGGTAAATGCACATCCATAATTCTCAGCAAAAATATATATTTAAAAATAGTATGAACTGCTGCTGCTGTTGTGTCTTCAAGTTATAATTTTAGTATATGTGCTGCCGAAGCGAGCACTGTCTTTAAGTTATTTCTGACTTATGGAAAGCCTAAGATGAACCTATCACAGAATTTTCTGAGGCTGTGAGAGGTTTCCATGGCTGAGCAGGGAATTGAACCCTGGACTTTCTGGTTGTAGTCCAGCACTCAGTCCACTACACCATGCTGGCTCTCTGTGAATAAGTACTACCTAAAAAAAACAGATTCTCCTGGCAGATGTATCTTCCTATAAGACTCTACTTTTGACCAGTTGGATTCCCAGTGCATTTTTGTTTGGATTCCTTATTTCTACAAAACTACGGGCCATTGAAGACTGGCTCAAAGGGCTGGCCTGGAGTTATAGTTGGGCGGAGCAGCCACACGCTGGCCACCCCAACCCACCCCAACGCTGTTCTGATGCCGCACGGCCATACGCACAGCGCGTGGTATCAGGACGCCCTCCCGGTGCAACGTTTAAACACGCTGCGCTGAAAGGCCGCTGAAGAACCATGGCACTGGCTCTTAAGAAGGCATTTTGCTGCTCTTTTCAGGGTGGCAAAAGGGAAGATCAGGGCTGTGGCATGGGGTTGCTGCGGCCCCAATCTGCTGCTTCCTGGAGCAGCTCTGTGCTGCCCCAGACGGCCAGTCTTCATCGGGCCTACAGTACTTATTTTGTTGTGACTAGTCTATTGTCCCCTGGCCCACTTATATTCTCCCTTTCACTGCCATCTCCTTTTATCATTCAACAGCGCTTTGCCTTTCCATACGTAGTTACATTTTCCTAGTATTCATCCACCACTGTTCATCAATCCCCATTTGTCTTCTCCTGGCTACAGGAAGTTCTGGCATTTCTTACTGGCTTGAGACACTACTTCTGCTTTCAAAAATATTGAGCTGCCATAGTTTCTTGCTTTCTTAAGCAGTTACTTGTTACGTCAGTGTAATATGATTGCTGCCATATTTAATAGTCATGCATCAGTGAAATAATATTTCAGCAGTGAAATAATAGTCACTTAAAGTACTTGTGCAAACTTCAAGAATGTACAGCCCTAATCCTTGAAACAGATGTGTGAAGAAAACATTTTTTCTGTGACCAAATTAGTTCTGATTGTCCTCAAAGTAAGGAAGTGGCTGGGCATTTTTTCTCCTTTTTTGACAATGTTGATTACCTATTGAGAGGAACTTGGATTTCAGACATTTCTGGAAATGGGCCAGGAGTATAAAAACAATAATCCAAGAATAATGATGACCTGTTAGGAAATACTGAAAACAAACTGTTAGCCAAGTAGCAAGGTCAAGTGTGGTCAGTAGTAACAGAGGTAGATTACTGATTCCAGCAAACAAAACTGGAAAAGAAAGAAATATGAACTTAAATTCTTTATGACAGACTTGAACGTGGTTGCCCTGGAGCAACACAAGGCACATGCTGGAGATTGGAGGGCTATTTTTAACACTTCTGACTCTGACACAGGCAACATTGTGTGCACAGTGCTCACTATTTGCTGTGACTGCAAGTGATATAGTAATCATTTATGGATACTTTTGGAATTTGCAGATTTCTGTTTGTTTTGTTTTTGGGTCCATCCCTCCTGCCACCAAACAGCATTTATGCTCACAACCATGACATTTTTTTTAAACAAAAGAAATCAAGTTGGCAAACTCTAGTGGGGACACAAGAGCAGCAAGGGATCCACTAAAGTCTGCATAATTCCTACACCTACCCTAGAGCAAATAGATCCACTAGATGACTTGTAGGCCTTATCCAGTTACTGAGGCTCATGCACCTGGTTTCTAGATGTCCCATTAAATTTTAGTGAAAGTACGGTAAAATGCTCATATTAAAATATTGAATGGTTAAAGAACATATTTGTTATTTGTGATCTCTGTGACTTACACAAATGGGCCACCTGTGCTTGTACAGCGCAGCATTCAGCATTCAGAAAATTGTCATGCTGAGCAATTGTTTAGGCAGTAGGCCTGCCCACTTTGGTATTTGTAAATATACACACAGATCCTGGATGCTCCCTCAGTTGCTTTTAATTCTCCATGGTAGCTACTGTGTTAGGAGTGTCTTTAAGTTTCTGGCTATAAGTTTCTGCTTTTCTACATCATCCAGCAACTTGTATTGAGTTTATCACTCTTTGTCCTTTGAATATGGTAAAATTGTCCATCAACTGGGGAGCTCTGATCTAGAGCCTATGATAGTATGTCTCAAGTAAAGGGAAGATTCTTTTTGACAGTTAATACTTTCATTGCATCATTTGTGGTTGGGCAAGGAACATAACAAGGAGTCCTACAGTCATTCTCAAACCTCTGCTCCACAAGATTGGAATAGATCAAAGCTCTTCAGTAAGATAGTGAGAATAAGGCCGCTGAACTCATGGATGAGATTAGGCTTCCACAGCCTCAGTTGGCATTTGTTTAATTCTGCCACCATCATTAGAGTTATTGTAATCAAAACTAATGTCTTAATGACCTGGAGGCATCTCTTCTTTACATTGTCAAGTATATCATTGCTACAGTGCATAGACTTTCAATTGACTGTTCCTGTGTGTAGAAGTGGAGCAAATTAATTGTCTTCTTATCACCTAGAGGGATCTCTCTAGTTATGCTGAACTGGAGTTGTGCACTGTAGTTTCTCCTGTCCTTGTCCAGTAGAGTGCTCTCTCTGAAGATTATCACATTATGATTAAAACCGGCTTATCTGAGCCAGCTTAAAATTAGAAGCCGGCAGCATCCTGATATTATTAGATGCATTTAGCCACTGAAATCGCCACCCAGGTGTAGCCTGGCTCCATCGTCGCTCAAAGGGGTGCTCCTTGCACCTCTTTTTGAAGACAGGAGTTTTTTGGCTTGAAAAAATGGCCACCGGATTACTCCTGAGTAGTGATGGAGCTGGGCTGCACCTGAGTGGTGATTTTGGTGACTAAAAGCATCTGATGATAGCAGGATGCCATCTGCTTCTAATTTTAAACCGGCTCAGGTAAACTGGTTTTAATCTTGATGCAATAATCTCTCTCTCTCTCTCTCTCTCTCTCCTATCAGGTATTACCTTTCATAAGTCTCAGCTATTTCAGAATATTGGAAAACTCTCATGTTTCCAATACCTATTGACTAAAGGTTCCTCAGAGGTTACAGTTTATTTATTTAATTAATTTATATGCTGGCTTCCTCTGGGAAAGGGACCCAAGAAAAACCTCTATCCTCTACTCTCTGGGCCAACACTTCAATTGAGCTTGGAGCTAGTATTGTCTCAACACTCCAGGAAACTCTATGAACCAGTTGTATTCTACAACTTCTGCCTACTTATTGGAGGACGGCCTTCTTGGTGTCAAACACCTCAACTAAATGAACAGCAGAGCTTTGTGCACTGAGGGTGGATCAGTCTTATCTATGATTCCATCAGGACAAGATTGTCCTTAGGGCAGACATTTCCTTCTTGCTTCATTCATTCCACATTAACCAGGACTTCAAGTTGCCTGCTTTGATGCAGAAATCTACCTTGGACTTGGACCAAACTCTTCATTGTCTTGACAGAAGAGCTCTGCCTTTTTATGTTGATAGTACTGTTGGCTTCTACACCTCTCAAAGACTCTTCAGATGTTAATGAAGAAGAAAGGACTACCTGTGTAGCACCATTCACCTAGCTTATGAACTTGCCTGGAAATTTCTCCAATTTGCATGTACACTCATTCTACAAGAGCCATGGTTATGGCTTCTGCCTTACTCAGGGGGTGTCATTGGAGGAAGCTATATGGTCACAGCCTTTGACCTTCTTCTTTTACTACAGAACTGATACAGGATCCAGGGCTGATGTTGCCTTCAGGAGAGCCTTGCTATTTTCCTTTGTTACATGACACTCCTAGCTTGATGGTCTCCTATTTGAGTCACAGAGACCATGAAAGAGGACAGGTTGCTTACCTGTAAATCTAGTTCTTCAAATGGTCATTTGTGAGATCACACAACCTCACCCATCCCCCCCTTGTCATTTCTTGCCTCCCCTTAGTTCCTTGGCTGCTGCATCAATGTCCAAGAACTGACAGCAGTATCACTCTGCTGTTTGTTTGTTTAAAAATATGTTAGAGATAATTTTCTCTTTGAATATTGATAATTGATCATTCCTTCCAAGAGACAATGCAAAAGGAAAGGGGATTGGGAGGGAGGAGGAAACAAGAGACTAATTTTTCTGTGATCATCAAGTAATATTTCAGCAGCTCATGGATTTGGAAGGTCTACTGCTTTCTCACCCTCTGATAACCTCGTGATAGTACTAGTTGGAAAGAAGGAGTATCTCAGTTACAGTATCTTGGCATATTGGAGGGGGGTGCCTTGACTGTAGCTTTTTTACTCTATGGTAGTTAGCTTCAGTGAGGACACCTGGAAAGTAAAATGGTACATCTGAAGGTATGCAGATAATATCAACATGATGTGCCACTGTTCAACCAGCTATTACAGTCTGTACTCATAATTTTCAGTTGCTTTTTATTTATTATCTTTTCCAAATACTTGCAAATTTTATTCTCCAAATGAAATAATAAATTAAATTTATTGTTGAGTTCAAAACAAATGCTAATTTAGCAGTGTGCCTAAAGATGTTATGCAGCTGTAACACAGTTCATCCCTATATATTGAAAATGGACCTGGAAGAAAGTGCACATGAGGCAATAGATGGATTAAATTACATCAGAATATAGTAGAGAATATGCTCATTTATAAGAAAGTAAAACAAAGTGGAAAGCACCTCCATGAAAATAGAAAACTAACCCACATTAAATGAAAAAGGGACTTGCTCAGTGAGGAAATTGTGCAATTTTTAAATGTTACAATTTGCCTTCCTGACTTTTGCAAACCATCTCCCATGATAAAGCAGCCAATCACAATTTCTTGTGGTAAATCTTGGTGGTAAATCTCTTATTAAGGATAAAGTTAGGAAGGCAAAGGAAACTGCTAAGAAGATAAAAAAGAATTTACACTTCTTGTAAAACCCCTCATTTTGGCCACATCTGCACTGCATAAATAATCCAGCTGGACTTTAACTGCCATGGTCCAATACTAAGGAATTTTGGGATTTATAGTTGTTGTGGCACCAGAGCTCTCTGACAGAGAAGACTATTTATGTCTCTCAAGACTACAGTTCTCAGAACTCCATAGCACTAACCCATGTCTGTTAAAGTGGTGTCAAACTGGATTG